ATATGGTTTCACTTATATGTATAATCTAAAAAACAACAAAATAAAACAAAGACAGACTCATAGAAACAAAGATCAAACAGTTGGTTGTCAGAGGGGAGGGACATGTGGAGATAGTGAAAGGTTGAAAGGATATATAGTCAATAATATTTTAATAAGTTTGCACAGTGACAGATGATTACTAGACTTAGTGTGTTGATCACACTGTAAGGTATGTAAATGTCAAATCATATTATACACCTTAAACTAATATAATATTATATAGCAATTAGCCTATCTAATAAAGACAGAATATGCAAATTGACCATAACTCTGCGACAAAGCTGGTGGTACCCACAGCCAATAAGGAGAGAATATGCAAATTGACACAACAAGGTGAGAGGCAGAAGGTGGCTCTGGCCAGAGAGAAGGCAGAAAGGTGGCTCCGGCCGGAGTGAAGGAGGTGCGGTAGCCAGGGGAAGGAAGGTCAATTATTGCACAAATCTTTGTGCATTGGGCCTCTAGTACTTAAATAAAAAATAAAAGTTTAAAAGTACAATATGATAAGAAAGGAGGGGGTGGAATAGAAACAGATTTACCATGAGTTGAAAATTATTGTAGCTTAGTGGTGAGTACATCAGGTTACATTATATTTTTCCAAACAACTTTTGAACGTATTTGGAATATTCCATAATAAAAGATTTTAAAAAATATACTATGAAAAAATTAAAAAATTAAGCTACCCAGTGGGAGAGATATTTGCTGCACATATAACTCATATCCAGATAAAAATATGCTGATGGGGCTCTATCCAGCTTGGTTCAGTGGATGGAGCTCAGCCTGCGGACTGAAGGGTAGCAGGTTTGATTTTGGTCAAGGGCACATACCTGGGTTGTGGGCTTGGTCCCCAGTGGGGGACGTACAGGAGGCAGCAAATTGATGATTCTCTCTCATCATTGATGTTTCTCTCTCTCTTCCTTCCTCTCTGAAATCAATAAAATATATGTTAAAAGAAAAAAAAGAGTGATGATCAAGCCAACAGTAGATGATGGCTGAAAATTAAAAAAAAATATGCTGATGGAATGTATATTGATGCAATCACTTTGCAAAACATTTTGTCATTATCTACTAAAGGTAAAAATATGGATACCTATGACTCAGGAATTCCACTTCTAATATATACCTGTCAGAGATGTACAAATTTGTTATTGATAGCATTATTTATAAGTAGCAAAAAATTGGGAAATTATATCCAAAATGAATAAGTTCATTATATGTTATATTCATGCAATGAACTAGAATGAACTAGATGAATGAACTAGATCTATACATAAAAACATGAATGGTATTTATTAACATAATTTGAATTCAAAAATTCTGTTGGATAAGTAATGCTTCATCTGCTTCCACAACAGTGTCCACAGACTTATATGTGACTGCCTCGCTTTGAATGTTAGACTGAAGAATATTATTATAATAAGTTTGTAGACGTCTTTGTTCTTGGCCAAAAGAATAGCTCATTCACTCAGCCAATCGTGATTCTTATAATTGGTTGGAATATTGGGAAATACTTTTTCAACCAATTCTTCTTTGACGTCACTAAATTGCAGAAGTTATGAGGCAATGAAATTCGTCCTGAGGTCAGATCAACCAGCACTTTTACATTTCCAATTTCCAGCAATTGATGTGAGAATATCTCAGCTGATCAATTGTTTTGCAGCTTGACATGCATATTTGTAGTTAATTTTAACATCTTTATGTTTCGCCACAAAGTATAGTATTTCATGCAAGCATTATTTCGTCCGTTGGTGTCAATCGAGGAATTACATGTAATATTAATGTGTTCCCAAATGGTCTGATGTTTCCACGCAAATCTTGCGATGATCAATCAAGAGCCTTGACCGATTTTTTGCATTTCTGCGATAATTTTGCCATGCCGGATGCTTTGGAAATGTTGCACGTGGAAGTTTCAATGAATTGCATGTTCAATGGCAATTTCAAAGCGGAATGAGCAGTTCTTCCACCTGGTAGCAATGTCGCAGCTATTCCGGATTTTGGGATGGAATTGCTGCCAGTGTCAATCTAATTAGGAACGTTTTACCAGTTCCTCCTGGCACATCTAAGAAGATTTCTCCAACCCCATTATTGACAGTTTGCATTATTTGATCATAAATGCCTTTTTGCTCAAGCGTTAGCTTAGGAATATTTGATTGCACATACCATAAAAAAATCACCCGTATTGTAATTTTCACGACGCAATTCTACATAGAACAAATCAGCAGCAGATCAATTTGGTGATGGCATTCCCAATTGATTGAGAACTTTGTTTGAGATTTCTAAGCACAGATCTTCAATCATTATCAACATTGAAATGGAATCGTAAAATTGGAAATCTGGAAATCATAAATGGATTGTAAATTGGAAACAAGGAAATGGAATCCTAAAATAATTAGTATAGCGTGTGTTGCTTTTATGTCCAACAGATGGCGCTGTTTTTTTTTAAAGCATGTTTTTTTTGAGACCCGTTTGGCTCAGTGGATAGAGCTTCGGCCTGCGGACTGAAAGGTCCCGGGTTCGATTCTGGTCAAGGGCATATACCTTGGTTGCGGGCACATCCCCAGGAAGGAGGGTGCAAGAGGCAGCTGATCGATGATTCTCTCTTATCGATGTTTCTAACTCTCTATCCCTCTCTTCCTTTCTGTAAAATATCAATAAAAAATATATATTTTAAAAAGCATGTTTTTGCCTGTCACAGGTGTGACATCTATAGCATAGTAGGTATGAGGTATATAAAAACACCCGCCTATTCAAATGAAATGTTGTGTCGAAATTTCAAAGCAATCGGTGAAGAACTTTTGGAGATTTAAGATTTTGAACAAACGAACATTTACATTTTTATTTATGTAGATTGCAAAGTCAAGGTTATCAGGTATGTTATCCTAGATACAAAAAGACAACATACAGGCTTAGTTAGAGTGAAGATTGACCTTTGTTAGGAAAAAATACTGTCTTAGGACATGACTACCCACCATGCACCACTTTTAATTTAAAAGTTTTAATTTCAGTCCATTATATGGTTACTTTAGGTCTCTTGAGTTTGTAAGAACGACATGCAGAGCTCTCCTGAGCTTGTCAGGTTAGCACTGGCCCGTTTTTGTCCATAGTTTCAAGAATTGAACTATGATACAAAGGAAATGATGGCTATTACTGACTGGTGGTGGGTAGGGTTGGGGGGAGACTATTACCTTTCTGTTCTTGTGGCTCAGAAGAGAATGACTAATCCTCTCTATTAACACAGCCACTGAAAAAGTAACAATGGTAATATGACTATGGGAAGATGCAGCCCTTCTCTGGTAATCAGAGAAAGGCAAATTTTATCCACAGAAAGAAGGGGCCCTGCGGAGGGCTGTTTCTCTGTTTTCCGTGTCCATCACGGAAAATGACAGGTTCCTGAGTGGAGGAGCTGGGGATTAAGAAGTTAGAGAAAGAAAGAGACATGGAGGCAGAAATAGATTCATCAAGCTGGGTGCTAGGTGGGCGTCATCTCTCTGATGGAGGGGCAGCAAGACGACCCCCCAAGCCAAGCATGTTTATTTATAGGGTCAAAGGAGCTTATTTGCATTCTTAACTAGGCTCTAACATTACTGGATTTACATATCTAGACCCCCCTCTGCTGACACCTGGACAAAGGTACTCTGCCAGTGCCTCGGGCTCAGCTGACAATTTAAAGAATGTCCATGTGCCTTCTCAGGCTGCCCTCTACAGGGCCCCTTTTATCTTCTGCTTTTAAGGATGAAAAATATGAGTAAAAGGTCCTGGTGTGGTGGTGGGTGGGAAGTTGATTAACCATTCTACTTCTGCAGCACAATTGGTGGGAGGGGAAAATGGGACCAGAGTTGGAGGACGACATAATCCTCACGTGACCAAGAGCTGACGTGAAGTTCCTATATTCCCCGGCTTCTTTCTCCTCTGGGTACCAGCTTCTTACTGCCCTGCAGGCGTTGGTGCTTGTGGCCAAGAGAAGAAGGATGGAAATTCCTTATATCCAAGCAGGTTGGTGTGAGGGAACCGTTGGTCCCCCTGGGATGGTAATGGCTGAATCTAGTGGCTTTCCCCAAAACTCTACAGACTCATCAGAGATATTAACTATTTTTTGAAAAGGAGTAGGAGGGGAGGCTGAAATAAGTGGAAGTCTCCTGGAAGACACTCAGAGATTCAATGACAGTTTAGAAATAATCAGCTTCTCTCAGATCGGTAAGCTTCCTCTTCATCCATAGCCTTCTTTCTCCAATTCTGTTGAAGGAAATGAGGTGTGGGCTGGTGTGTGGGGAACAGCTGGAATTCTGGGGCACAGACAGAGAAATTTAGAGATAAATATAAAGTAATTCATCTCATTCAATGTCAGCTGAGAGGGTTGGGAGGGAGGGAATGGTGGGCCTTGCAAGGATTAGGTCCAATGGTTAGGGGGTGGGGGTGCAAACAGAGATCCAGGAGGAAGGGATAGGGACTGGAGGGGAGCCAGGAGGTAGAAAATGTTGGACAATGATAGTTATGAGGGTCCTGGATTCCAGATAATAATGTTCATCTTATCATTGGGGCTGGTGAATCCTCCAGAGAACTCTCTCTTCCTCTACCCCTTTCTTTTTGTCTGGAATCCCAGGATCTGGGTTCACAGACATCTCCAGGCAAGAAAAAGAGGAAGAAACTATCCCTATTTCTATCATGTCAGAGAAGGAGGGAAATACTTAGACCTGGGTCTCTGAGGGTGGGAGTTGGGAAAGTAGAGAGCTGTTAATTTGCAGGCTCACTGCTCACGCTTGGTCTGTTATTAGCCTTGTCTGTTGGATACATGGTGGGTAGCTGAGGGAGGGGAGGTTTGGGAAGCGGTGGAATCTCAAACTTCTGAGGGCTGGACCTGTTTGGCAGAGGTGTGGAATTAGGTGAGCATATTCCTTCAAAGAGAAACTGACAAGCAATTTTACTCTACATTTTCTCCCTGGACTTAAGCAGGAAACAACTACATCATGCAAAAACCCTGCAAAGAAAATGAAGGGAAAGCCAAGAGCCCTGTGCCAAAGAGAGAAGAATGCCCCGATGGAGAATTTGAACGCCAGCAAACTGAAGGGAATTTTAGACAAAGACTGCTTCAATTTCTCGAGGAACTTAAAGAGGACATAGATTATAGGCATTTTAATAATGAAGAAATGACAAGAGAGGGAGAAGAAGTGGAAAGGTGTTTGGAAGAGATAAGGAGTCTGAGAAAGGAGTTTAGGGCTCTGCATTCTAACCATCGGCATTCTCGAGACAATCCTTATCACATTTGATGCATTTTCCCCCTGAATTCAATTATTTTATGTTATTAATATACCTACCACTAGGTTCTTTTGGTGTGCATTTTCTTGCTAAATGTTTGCTATCATTTTACTCCAATTCTTCAATATTCCTTTGATTTCCATATGACTCTTGTTACCAACATCTCATCTTTTGACTCAGTCTCATTCATTTAATGGGATGTCTCATTCATTTGCATGAGAAGATGCTCATTGAATATTGTAAAGTGGAAAAATACACTGTAAAACATTATATATACACACACACATATGCACGCATATAATGACAACTTATATGCAATATAATGCAAAAGTTTGAATTATTATACAGCAAGACATTAATAGTGACTCTGTGTAATCTGTACTTTATTTCTTGTATTTAACCTATCTGTATTGTCTTATTTTCCAAAAAAAGAATATACACTGAGTGGCCAGATTATTATGATCTCTGAACGCATAATAATCTGGCCACTCAGTCAGTGTGTGTGTGTGTGTGTGTGTGTGTGTGTGTGTGTGTGTATTAGAGGCCCAGTGCATGAATTTGTGCATGGGTGAGGTCTGGCCAGCCTGGCCAGGGGGAGAGAATATGGGCAGTTGGCTGGCCTGCCTGCTGAGCGAACTCCTGGTTGAGGGGACAATTTGCATATTAGCCTTTTATTATATAGGATATACAATGGGTGGACAGATTATTATGCATTCAGAGATCATAATAATCTGGCCACTCAGTGTATTTTCTATAGTTTGAATGTACCTTACATTACTCAAACCATTCCCCTGTTAATTAACATTCAAATAATTTCTATGTTTTGCCCATTTAAAGCAATTCTGCCTGCTTATATAGATATCAAATTAATGATATTTTTATTTCTATGAAATAGATTCTGGAAAGTAAGAATTATTAATAAAAAAGTATGTGTTCTCTTACATTTCCTAGCTTCCTTTGTACATATGTTGGGGCTATCAAATGTAATATAAGACATTCTAATGCTTATTAACAAGGCTGGGTGGTCTCTCCACTCTCCTTTCAATAACCTTGGGTACCTATGTGCCATCTGGAACACATGACTGTGCCGGGTTACCAATGGCGGCCTGGAACCCTTGGGCTGCATCAGGCGCTGCCCACCTGCCCTAGCCCCCAGTTGCGGCATGGAACCTCCAGAAGAGTCAGGCACAGCCCACCAGGCCTGCTGGACCCCAATGGCTGCCTGGACCCCTCAGGTGGAGTCAGGTGCTGCCCTCCAAGCCTGCCTGACCCTAGTGGCTGCCTGGACATCACAGGCAAGTCAGGTGCTGCCTGTTCCTCCTGCATATTCAAATTTACCCTCCATCATTTTTGGCTTAATTTGAATATCACTCCTGATTGGCTGTGGGTGTAGCAAAGATAAGGTCAATTAGCATTTTTCTCTTTTATTAGTGTAGATACACTGCTGTCCCTGTTGTATTTGGAGTTCAATTCAACCTCAAGGAATAAAGTCTTACTTTCAAATTTAACTATATCCAGTATAATTTTTCTTTGACAGCACATTTTGTAATTTTTGTTATAATCTCTACAGTTCAAGTAATATATTTTAGCTTCCTTAGGTACTGATTCACCTCCCTTCATCCACTCATTGTTTTCATTGTTGCCTGTCTGTTTTGTGTCTTGGCCTGGCTATGTTAGTGAAGCCTATTTCCCCCACTATGTGAACCTTTTGATGTCACCCCTCAGAGGGTGCAAACTTGGGCACCTACACAAATATCCTGAGATAACAGTGGATTTTAACAACACTGTTTTTTGTTTGTCTGTTTGTTTGTTTTTACTGTCTCTTTTCTCTGTTGCTTTTAGCAAAGTCCTGAGACAAAATACTCAAAAGTCTGATCACATTAAATTCAGTCAGACACAGTTTTTGAGGCCAATATTTGAAATTCATTCAATCCTCTAGTCTGCTTTTAGGTCTCTGTATAATATTTTTTATTTCAGTCAGTGTATGTTTAATTTCTAGTTGATCCTTTTTCATATCCTCAAGAGTCTCGTTAGCCTTTTCTAAGAAATTCTTGAAAAACCTTATAACCATAGTTTTGAACTCTATATCCAATTGTTTACTTTCCTCCATTTCCTTCAATTGTGACCTGCCTCTTTGTTTCTGCATTTTGGCTGCTTCCCTGAGTTGATGGAATGGCTTCATGCGCTAGGTTTCCTAGCAGGGCCCAGTGGCTCAGCCTCCTTAGTTACCTGAGGTGGACACTCTTTGTGCTCCCCTTTGTGTACTGTATATACAGCCTTATTGTAGTTAAGCCTAGATTGTTGTTAGTAAAACTGGGGGGCTGGGAGGATTGAACTCCAGGCCACTTGGCTGTGAGGGTCAGCTGTATCTCTGCTGCAAGAGCTTCTGTGCTCAGCTTGGATGGGGAAGAGTCTAAGGGTGGAGCAGACAGCCTTGGTTTCCCATCAGCCCCACCCTAAGAGGCCCCTATGTCTCAGTGTCCAGCAGTAATGGCTGCATGCACCTCTGGAGATTACTGCCCTCGAGTTTCGCCTGCTGCCAGACAGTCCAGTTTTTCCCCGAATGAGTCTGGGTACCCAAAATCTCACCAGGAACTGGATTTCAGTGCAGTCGGGAGGTTTTGTTTCCCTCCAAAACGAGAAAGCTAGTCTCATGCTTGCTGCACACCCTCTTTGAGTGCCGCAAGTAAGTCAACCACGTATTCAGCCACCCACCCTTTCCGCTCGTGTGGGTCTCCGCACCTCTGTCCTTCACAGCTCCTATGGGTCTCAGTGTCCTTTTATCTTTCCTTCTAGTTGTAGAATTTTCACTCAGCCAGCTTTCCTGTGGTTCTGGACCATGTCCTCTCTGTCTTCCAGTTAGAGATTTCAAATGGTTGTGCAAGGCAGCAGTATAGGTGTTTACCTATGCTGCCATTTTGGTTTCTCCTCTCTCTTTTTTTCTTGATCACTTTTGTTAGAATTTCATTTTATTGGTATTTATGTAGAATCACTTTTTTTTGTTTCTTTCTTTAGAATGTTTCATTTTTCTGATTAATTTCTATTCATAAATTGTTTCTTTTTTCCTCATCCACTGGGATCCCACTTATTTTCACCCAACTCCCTCCACTACCAAGGACTGTTGTCAGTGGACAGGGACTGAGGCTGCCTTGGGCCCAGAGGATTAGGGGCAGAAAGCCAGCCCAGGGAAAGCCTGCACTTACCCCTTGGTCCTGGCCTCCCACACACACACTTCATACCTTCCCTCCCAAGACCAAAGTCTCCCTGGCCCACAAACTTGATAACAGAAATTCATAATTGTTTTTTGCCTTAAGAAATGTGTGGATTTATATTGGTTCTTTCCCAAAATTTTATTTACAAACAAACATATTATTGATATTTCCAGTCTTTTTTATTTTCTAATAGATGCATTTAAAGGTATGAAATTTTTTGGTAAGTACAGATAGCTGCATCCATGGGTTTGCAGGTGTTATGTTTTCCTTATCACTCATTAAAGATAATACCAAGTCTGGTTGTCATTTCTGTTTTTACCTATGAATTATTGAAAAATGTATTGACTAATTTCCAAAACATTTTGAGATTTTCTTATTAATATCTATGTCATTAATTTTTAGCTTTATCCATCAGTCATCAGAGAACATATTCTGAATTACTTCAGTACTTTGAAATTTGCCAATAATTGGTTAATGGATCTAGTGGAATGTCAATTTTAGCAAATGTCCCATTTGCCCTTGAAAAGAATTTATATTCTGCATTTGTAGGTTGTATTTCTCTATATAAATAAATTAGAATAAATTTGTTAATTTTGTCACTTAAATCTTCAACATTTCTACTGATTTTTCCTGATTCTTCTATCAATTATTTATGTCCCACAATGACTTTAGATTTATCTGTTTTTCCTTTTATTTCTGATATTTTTGTATTTTATATTTTGAATCAATATTACTAGATGCATACAGATTTAGAATTTTATTATCTGTCCATTAAATTGATCATTTGTCATTATAAAATATATTTCTACCTCTAGTAATATTTCCTGATTTAATGCTTACCTTGTTGGCTATTTTCATAACTGCATCAGCTTTCCTTTGATTATGACATACATGTATGTTTTTTCCACATTTTGATTTTCAATCTTTCTGTGTCCTACATTTAAGTTGTATCTTCTTAAGCAGCGTATGACTTATTATTACTTATTTGAAGTATTCATTCCATTTATATTCACTCTAATCATTGATATACTTGTGTTTGTGCCTCTCATCTTACTATTTGTTTTTTATTTAACCCTCCTGTTTTATGCTCCTATCAAATTAAATTAGACCACAAGGTCAGAGAGGAAACTTGAATATCCCCTAAACTTGTGTTCAAATTTATGTGCACATACAAGTATGTGTGTGGGGTGGGGATGAATGTATCCATTTCTTCAAGGTGTATGCATGTGCTGATGAGAAAGTTTATATTCTCATTATTTTTAGAAGGAGGTTTGTGATATAAAAAATGAGGGTCACACAGCTAATAAGAGGAAGAATATGGATTTGGTTCTAATGCCTGGACTCTTAGTAAGAGAGCTATACTGGGGCTATCATGGGTAAAATTTTGATATCCTTACTGATACATTTATGATAAAATTAATAGTTACCAAAAACATATTATTCTTTTCCACTATGATTATGAATTTTTCTACATGTCCTTTTATTCTAATTTTATTTTATTTTTAGGTGTATATAAATAAAGGATTATGATTCCATCCTGGTGGATTGATTTTAAAAAAATCGAATTTCCTCTTTATTTATATACTAGTAAATGTCCATTGCCTTGAATTCTACCTTGTTTGATATTTTAACAGCACTACAAGCTTTCTTATAAATACAATTTACATAATAACTTTTAACATTCAGCTTCATTCTTTCTTTTACATTCATTGTCAATCTTATATAACCATCTTATCATTTTATTCTTGGAATTGTAAGGACAGAGTGGAGATTTAGGTGTGCCTAGAACTGACATATTC